TCACTAGCAGGGTTTGATTACACACTTACAAGTAAGAAAATAAGTTTAAAGGTCAAGAAATAATAATATGGAATGTAATTGAGTGCAAGATGTAATTACGAATGAAAATTTGGTATAAAAATGGTAAGAATTTAAGTATATTGAGGTATAAGATAATAAAAATAAGAAAAAAGTTAAGCAGAAGTAAGAAATATTTCAAGAACCAGAAGGGGAAGTTGAGGGAAGTCATTGTGTGTGTGTGTTCATTTTTGTTTATAGGATGTTACATTGCTTTATTTGGTTGAATATTAAATTGTAAAATCCAGTTTTACACACACACACACACACACACACACACACACACAGCATCATTGACCATATTATATGTATGGGAAACAAAATAGCTTTAACCATATCATTGCAGAAGTGTTTTACACAATAAAATGAACAAGGGCTCTGAGACGTATTTTGTTTTTATTAAATAATCAATAAAACTTAATATTAAAATTACTTCAGATGACATTGTAACATAAGAGGGTACACTTTAACTATTCTCATGAATGTGTGAGTTATTTCAGGCTCAAAGAGATGTTAAATCTGCCCCCAAAAGGTAATGTGTAAAAAAATATTTCTAAATCAATATATTTTATAACCGCAAAAAACTCTCTCCTTATTTTTAAAACACAACAAGTACATAGTTAGCCCATTCTACAAAACAAGTATGAAACATGTGTTAGTTGTGGTTTGTGTGCTATGGCTTATTGAACCTACCAGGAATAAAATGACAAAAATTCACGTTGAATGGTCAGTGATCATTTTCTTTGGCACTTAATACCATTTTTATACCGTATTTGGAAAGAGACCACAATTAGCTTTATTTTGATACCGAAATAAGCCCAATCAGTTGAAAAATAAGCAAAACAGGAGGTTTTTTTTACACTGACGTAGAAATTGCATTAGCTTAAATCACGCAAAAAATGTAATTTTCAAAAAATTCTCCTGCACCCAATTTTGGACTAAAAAATCTTAAAATATTCTTTGAGGTTATGTCATAGGTATCTACACATAAATTTTTTGGGAAGAAAACCTTAGTCATGAGAGCACATGGCACCAGGTGATTTGGCGTGGTATGACCTATTTACAAATGCAGTTTTTTCTTTCTTTCTTTCTTTCTTTCTTTCTTTCTTTCTTTCTTTCTTTCTTTCTTTCCTTCCTTCCTTCCTTCCTTCCTTCCTTCCTTCCTTCCTTCCTTCCTTCCTTATTTGGGGCCAGAAAGCAAATCTCCTAGGCTTTTTAAAGTATGCCTACAGCCCAGTCCTATACACGTGGCAGGGAAATTATTGAAATTATAGAACGAAATGTGTATGTGGAGGGCTGAGCAAGCTGAGAATTGTCTTTGCTTGAAAAGTGCATAAATAATGATGTTTGAAATACTTGGTGTTTGTAACTCCCTTACTTGGGGCGAGGCCAAACTGCATTGCAATGGGTTTAATAAAGATAATAAAGTTTAATAAACAAACTGACGTCAGGATTATTTTGGCCATCCAGGCTGAACCCATGGGTATTGTGGGGGACACCTGTTCCAATATTTTCCCGACAAATGCTCAACAGAAAGCCTGTGCAATTGATTGGCACCTTCTCTCTAAAAAGTGTGCTTTTGATTTCAACCTTAAATATACTTCTAACTGCACTTGATTTATCCCTAAAAACCCATTTAGGATAAAATGAGTGGAGAAGGAAAAGCAGATTCCTGTTCCCCTCATTCCTCTACCTGTAGATGTCCCCAGGGGTAATGCATAAAACATGCTAATGAAATCATACTTTGCATATGAATTTGCCGCCCATACAGAGTTTTAACACCTGGAAATAACGAAATGAGCCATTAGTTATTTGTTTATGTATGCACCCATTAAGCTCATATTTGCATTCAGTTGTTATGCAGATAGGAGGAACCCAACCATCATTTATTTCTTTTTCTTTTGGCATGGCTAAAATTGTCTTGCCTTAACTTGCTTTAAGTTTGGTTTCTCAAGACAGGACAAAACTGAGGATCCTTTTATTCCTGATTGAAGATCCTCATCCAATATACACTTCTGTTCAGTCAATCCAAACTCTCCACATGGCCACGAAGCTCATTGACTGATCTTGGGACTCTTTCTTTCTCTTTCTCCCTAACCTATCTCACAGAATTAGGTAAGCCATCTTGAGTTCCTTGGAGGAAGGATGGGATAAAAAAAAATGTCACAAATATAATACTGCTGATGGTATTTGGACTGCAACTCCCATTGGCCATGCTGGCTGGGGCTGATGGGAACTGGAGTCCAGCAGTGGAGTCCCCATCCTTGTCCAACGCCACATCCAGATGTCCTCTTCATTGAGCATTCGCTTTTATTTGTCTGTACAAAGTTTGCAGATAGGTTTGTGGGGAGGGTATGCAACATTACGTTGAACAATAGTTACTCCACATTTCCCAGCACATTTTCTCATCACTTTTCTTACTGCAAGGCAGAGAGGGAGCGGAAGATGGTTTGTTGTGCAAGAGCTCCAGGTCCACTTTAATTGCACGATGTTGAAATCTAGCTGTGAAAAGTAACATCCTATAAGGGCCCTAAAGTGTTGCAGTGCAAACAATAAGAGCAGTATGATACTGCTTAAAATATATAATGCTGATAAGGCCCATGTCTGGGCTTTATAGAACATTTGATTATTTGTTTAGTTATTTGCTAAACACTGTATATTGCTTTACTGTAATTAAACAACAACAACCCTCAAAGCGATTTTAAAAAAGGCGAAACAGTAAAATAAGGAAAATCTACAACCCACCTTTCAAACATACAGAAGTTAAAATACTGAAACAGGTTAACATGAAGGTGGTGGTGTTTGGCCACTGTGAGAACAAGATTCTGGACTAGATTGGCCACTGGCCTGATCCTGCAGCCAGGATCTTCTTAGATTCCTAAATGCTTCCCAGAGAATAGTATTCGGAAGTACACTGATAGGTCTTGGAGCCGATTTGCATGACAAATGGCCCATCAGTTGGGAATGAAGGCTAGTGGCCACAGTTCAATAATCTTCTTGTTTTCACAGCTCACCTGGGAACAAGCAAGAAGGAGGTGTCACAGCAAGTAGCTGGCCAGCTGTAACTCCCAGAAAGACACTTAAAATGAGTAATTTTTGGAAAGGCATAAGGATTTTCTCAAAGCCCCGTTGAAGTCATCCTGCTGCCTGGCCCCTTCTCTGCCTGTATAAGCCAAACTCCGTTCAGTGAGAGGCATCGAGGGAGCCTGCCATAAATTGACATGTCCTGACAAGACAGTCTGTTTGCTTTTATTGTTCAGGAACCAGAGCCACTGACTGTCTGCCTTGCCACTTGCCTTTAATGTTTGATTAAGCACTGTGAGAATTGTCACTATTGATCAGCTTCTTGCTAGTACATTAAGCCCCCTAATCCCTTGCATTCCCTCTATCTGCCTCTCTTGCTTCATCACCAAGTTATCCTGCTCCTTCTACAAGCCTGTTTTACTACCTGCATCGAGAAACAGAAAGGTCAGAAGCAAAATCAATGCTTTGGAAAATGTTTTTTATTTTATTTTATTTTCTGCATTTATAGTCCACCTTTCCTCTCACAACAACCCTGTGAGGTAGGCTGATTGGCCCAAAGTCATCCAGCAATGTTCACGAATGAGCAGGGATTCAATCCTTGGTTTTCCGGTCTTAGTCCAATGCTCTAGCCCAGTGTTTCTCAAGTTTGTCACCAGCTGTTGTTGGACTACAACTCCCATCATCCCTGATCACTGGTCCTGCTAGCTAGTGACTAGCTAGGACTAGTGATGTGCAAACTTTGGTAGGTCTTGGTGCTCAGATTAATATGGGTCAACAAAGCCTATGAAACCCAGGTAAAAAAATGTTGCACCCACTTCAGGTTTTTCCCCTTCCAGGCATGCAAAATGGCTTGCAGTACTGTCCTCCCTGGCTTTGCCTGCTTCCTCACATCACTGCTGCTGGCCTTTCAGCCTTTTTGTGTTTTCAGAGCTGCCTGTCTGCAGCAGGGACCCTTGTCTACTTAGCAACATAGGAATCTGCCCATGGTCAACCAATAGTCCTTCCAGCTCAGTATTGTTTTCGCCAACGGGCAGCTGGTTCCCACGGCTTCAGACAGGACTCCCCCAGCACTACCTGGAGACCTTCTGCATGCAAGGCAGGTGCTCTATTGCAGAACTACAGCCCTCCCCTGCTTGTAGAGGTCTGGAAGTTCAGCATTCTGAATTGTATGGGGAGGGAATATACCGTATTTTTCGCTCTATAAGACGCACTTCCCCCTCCTAAAAAGTAAGGGGAAATGTGTGTGCATCTTATGGAGCGAATGCAGGCGGGAGGCTCTGCTCAGCACTTCCTTTAAAGAGCCGTGGAGCATGTGTGCGGCTCACTTGGGGCTTTTCCCCGAGGAGGGAGAAGGGCTGCCCTTCTCCCTCCTCGGGGAAAAGCCTCCAAGAGCCACACACACACTCCATGTGCTCTTTAAAGGGAGCGTGGCTCTTGGGGGAGCCTTAGCAGCGCGCAGCCTCTCCCGAGCAGGGGATGAAGGCTCCCCTTGCCCGGGAGAGGCTGCGCGTGGCTAAAGAGGAAGCCAGGACAGCCAGCGGGATCGATGCCGCTGGCTGTCTTGGCTTCTGGCTTAGCTGCGCACAGCCTCTCCCAGCGGGAGAAGCCAGGACAGCGAGCGGGATCACTGCGCTGCGATCCCACTGGCTGTTCTAGCTTCTGGCTTAGCTGCGCGAAGCCTCCGCAGGGCACGGGGAGCCTTCATCCCCGTGCCCTGTGGAAGTTTCGCGGGGCTATCCAAAAGCCAGTTCTCTGTTCCTGGACCTTTTGTTCTATCTAGATCTTTGTCCTCTTCATTCTCTTTCAGCTTTGTTGCTCCAAGGTGGTGAATTAAGAATCAGCAAGCTTTTCGCGTTGGTAGCCTGGGACTGTTGTGGACACCATGGCCAAGATCAAAGCCCATGACTTACGTATGAGGGATGAAGAAAGAAGAACTGTTGAAGGAGCTAGATGACCTCAAAGTGGAACTCTCTCAGCTGCAGGTTGCCAAGGTGAAGCAGTCTCCAAACTCTCCCAAGATCCGGGTGGTTCGCAAATCCATTGCCAGAGTGCTGACAGTCATTAACCAGACACAGAAGGAAAACCTCAGGAAGTTCTGCAAAGGCAAGAAGTACAAGCCTATAGACCTGCGGCCTAAGAAGTCACGTGCCATGCAAAGCAGACTAAACAAGCACGAAGAGGGTCTGAAGACCAAAAAGCAGCAGTGAAAAGAACACCTGTAGCCACCTCTCTGTGAAGGCATGAGCCCTAAATGTGCAACATCCTGATCCTCTGGCCAGGTGTTTTGGCTGTGGTCACAAATAAAATAAAATTAAAGGTAAAGGTACCCCTGCCTGTACGGGCCAGTCATGTCCGACTCTGGGGTTGCGCGCCCATCTCGCTTAAGAGGCCGGGGGCCAGCGCTGTCCGAAGACACTTCCGGGTCATGTGGCCAGCGTGACAAGCTGCATCTGGCGAGCCAGCGCAGCACACGGAAACGCCGTTTACCTTCCCACTAGTAAGCGGTCCCTATTTATCTACTTGCACCCGGGGGTGCTTTCGAACTGCTAGGTTGGCAGGCGCTGGGACCGAGCAACGGGAGCGCACCCCACCACCGGGATTCGAACCGCCGACCTGATGATCGGCAAGTCCTAGGCGCTGAGGTTTTACCCACAGCCCTTGGCTGATGCCAGATGATGATGCTGACCTCCAACTCCAGCCCTGCATGTGTTTCCTGACACCTTCCCTAGATCTCTTTGAAACCTTTTTGAGAAAGGTAAATCAATCCTTGGAATTGACCACCAGTTTTTACTTGGCAGTTCTTCCGCTTAAGCCTCATTGCCCCAGGAAAGGAAAAGGTTATTATTATTATTATTATTATTATTATTATTATTATTATTATATTGATGGTAGTACAACCACCATCATAAATTATCAGAATTATGATAATCATCATCAGATTATCCTCCTCCTCCTCCTCATTATTATATTTGTTGTTGTTACTCACTCATCCTTCACACCTTGTGGGTTACAACAATTAAAACACAACATTCTAAAGCAGCTTAAGACAACATAAAATCACATAAACAACATGGGTTCTAAAAATATATATCTCAAGTGCCAATAGAGAGAGTTATTATTATTATTAAAATCAAGATCATCTTCATCTTTATCATTGCCAGAGAAAATACAACAAGAATCTAGCTTGTAATTCTTTTCTGTTACCATTTCCCTTTTTCTTTTTGGAAATACTTTACTCAGCTTCATTTTAATAAAATAGGCAGCCTGTCTTTTGTCTGCAGTGTTAATAAGAACAAAATATATATGATAGAGCAGAAGATAATTGCAATGAGCTAGACCTTCCATTTTTCTCAATTTCTGCTCATTTTCCTTGGATGGGATTGCAGATGTCTTGACGTAAGTGCTGTCTCTGCCTCAACAGGACTTGATTAGTTCCAGGAGTCACACCTCCATCCTTCCAATGCAGAAATAGCATATACAGAAACAGACAGAATACTGTGGCAGAAACAGTCTGTGCAGTGAGAGGAACATTTTGCCCATTGCACTGTTCAGAGCACCATTAGTCATGAGCAAACATGTACAGTGTCTATTTCTCAAAGTAAAGTTTGTTAAACCCTTGACAGCTACTGCTGGTCGCTGTAGATAATACTGACTTACATGGACTTGGCTGTCTGACTCTGTGTAAGCCACCTTTCTACATTCCTATGAAAACTGGTATGTATGCTTTGAAATCCCATTGCTGAAGGTGGATCCCGGGCCTTTGAGTCTTGGAGGCCAGTGTCCCACACAATTGTTAACGGTATCACCACTTCAGTAGACTCATAAATATCAGACCTGGGCATGGTTATTTCACTTCCCAGGAGCCTCTGAGCTTGGCTTGAAAAGCATCCAGAAACTCCAGCTGGTACACAATGCATTCGCTAGGTACAGGCTGGGGCAGGACTAGTTGAATGAAGCATATTTGCATAGTTGTTTGCTACTGGGCTCACTGCTGATTCTTAACTTTAAATCTCTTAATCAAGGGTAGCCAACATGGTGCCTTCCTGATGCCATTGAACTGCAACTCAATTCATCCTCTACCATTGGCCATTCTAACTGGGACTAATGAGAATTGTAGCCTAGATTAGAACTTCTAGAGGGCACTTTGTTGACTGGCCCAGCTCTCAATGGGACCTGAAAGGCTAGCTGCTCCCAAAGATGTGCTCCATTCATGTGTTCCATTCAGCATCTCAGGTCTTACTCTGCTTGCCGTTGCTGGCTCTAGTTTGGACTGCTGTCTGCCAGGAGCCTTTTCTGTGGCGTCATAAGCTTTATGAAATGCCCCCACCCCCCAGTGAGAGCTGCCTGATGCAGTATGCATTTGGTGCCTTCTCCAGCTTTTTAGGAAAACATTTGGATGACTTAAAAAGAGGATTAGACAAATTAGTAGACGATAGAGCTATTAATGGCTACTAGCTATGATGGCTATGTTCTCTGACTGCTGTCAGAGGCATCATGCCTCTGAAGACCAGTTACTCGGATCCAAAGATGGGCAGAGTGGTGTTGCACTCAAGTCCTGCTTGCTGCTTTCCCACAAGCATCTAATTGGCCACTGTGAGAACAGCATGCTGGACTACTTGGGCCACTGGCCCGATCCAGCTCTTCTTATATTCCCATTCCATGAGCTGCTGCTTTTTGTTTTGCTCATTATTATTGTTTGGCAATATATGTATATTTATACATATTGTTTACATTTCCATTCCACCTTTTCTCCAAGGAGTTCAAGGTGGCATACAAGGTTCTTCTTCTCCCCATTTTTATCCAGTCATGCAAGGTAGGTTAGGCTGAGGGATAGTGATTGGTCCAAGGTCACCTAGTAAGTTGGGTGGCTGCGTGAGAATTTGAACCCTGGTCTCCCAGGTCCCTCTAGCCCAGCACTCTAGTCATTGCACTATTCTTCCTCCACTGCTACATTTGAATTTTGTGGAACTGCTGCTTTATTTTTATTTTTTCTATTTTGAGGTGGATGAGGGGAGTACTCTAGCATCTTATTTTTAATAATTGTGTTGGGCATGTTAAGTTTGTTTGAGAGATTCAGATTTTTAGAATAAAATAATATTTTTAATTTGTTTTTAAGTATACCCCCCCCAAAAAAAAACCAGATTCCAAAATATAAAGAGTATGGAATACAAAGATTCAGAATTAGGAATATATTCCTGATACAGTGTTACCTCGGGTTAAGAACTTAATTCATTCTGTAGGTGCGTTCTTAACCTGAAACTGTTCTTAACCTGATGTACCTCTTTAGCTAATGGGGCCTCCCGCTGCCGCCGTGGCCGCATGATTTCTGTTCTCATCCTGAAGCAAAGTTCTTAACTCGAGGTACTATTTCTGGGTTAGAGGAGTCTGTAACCTGAAGCGTCTGTAACCCGAGGTACCACTGTACTGAATCTTTGTGCGTGCACACACACACAGCTGTAGCAGGAGCACAATCTATGCTTACAACTGTCAAAGGCACATGACAAGATATAAAGGTTGCAACCCTATAAGCAAGGCATATAAGGTATGAACCACGTCATACTGATGGCAGGGGGTTACCTCTCTTGGTCTGCAGAGAGTTTCTATGCAAGGCTTCAAATGCAAAGGAATAGCAGCTACCTCCCCTTCCGTCAACCTCAATTAATAGCATCTTAAGCACCTGCCTAAGGCAGGAGGTCTCTCTGGGATGCTGTGACAACCTCACTCATTAACCCAGCATTCAGCAAGCTAACTAGCAGATGCTGTTGACATGAACCTCTCTGTAATCCCTTTAACCTTGGCCTGTGAACTGCAAGCAAGTCATGACTGAGTAGGTCCCCCCCAAGCTGGTTTTAATCCTAAATTTGTTTCATGCCTGCAGACGTCTGAAACCTGAAATGCACTTTTATTTTAAATTCTCAAACCCCATAATATTTGCTTTTATGCACACTTTAGACATAATGATTGCAAACCATGGTTTGTAACTGCTGAAACTGAGAGTTTCCCAAGGTGGACTTAACAGAAGGCTGTGGTTTAAGAAACTAGAAGTATCCGTCCAATATCTCAGAGGTGGGGAATCTTTTTCAGATTTAGGGCCACCTTCTGAGGGTCACATGCTAGTGGTGAGTAGGGGTGGAGCCAACAGTGGTTGGAGCACTAAATGTAAATTTTACCTTTCTGCGTAGGTTAGTTTGTACATTCAGGCAAGCAAGAGGCATAATCAGACTTCAAGGACACATTGCAGCCAGCCAAAAACACTCAAGGAATATATTATTTGGAAACAGGGATGCAGTAAAGGGTTTGCATATACAATAGGAGACCCCCAGATTTCTAAACCATCTCTGTCCCTTTGCCCTTTGTGCTGGCATGTACTTTGATATTAAGACTGTTATTCTCAGATTGCAGAATTCTCTCTAGTTCTGTACCCCTCTCAGACTTCTCTATTGGACCTAAAGCCACAAGGACATCTTGGAAAGGGGCAAATCGTGCCCTCCCTATAAGAGAGCACGTGTCGCGGTGAGACCTGGAGACTGACCTCCTGTGTTGTGGGTGGGTTGGATTGGTTAGTCATAACACCTGATTGGTAGGTCCCTCAATGTTGGGTTCAATCTGGCCAATGGGGTGCAGTCTAAATGGATCAAGGGACCGATATATACCCATGCATGTGGCCCAGAGCTTCCTCTTTTGGCTTGTGCATCGGAACACCCATCCACCTCTCCATAATTTTAGGGCATTTTGTGACTGCCCTTGCTATGCCGTCGTGTGTTGTCTGTCGTTGGGACAGGGGCACGGCAGGAATTTCCCCATCTGGCTGATTGGCTGTTGCCATTTGGGTTTCGCCTGCTGCGTAGCAAATCGTCACAACTTGTAAGGTTGCGGATAGGCACTGGTTCAGGTGATAGGGATGGGAGAGCGGTCTCGCCATCCCTATGTGAAGGGTATTCCATTAAAGGAATCCAGGGACTCAGCTGGTTTGGTCGACTCCCGAGAGGGGGTTGTGCCTGTGCCTGAGTCCAGGGGGGCATCTGGGTGGTGAACAGAGTCTGTTCCTGGCTTTTCGCCTACCCAGGTGTTCACCCTTGGCTGGCCTATGCTGGTGCCCTGGGTCAGCGCTGCCTGCAAGGGTGCAGGGAGCTAGTCGAACCAGAGCCTATGCAACCACTCACCTTCTGTAATCAATAAAGTTGTGGCCTAAATTCTGCCAAGAACC